TCTTTCTTTCTTTCTTTCTTTCTTTCTTTCTTTCTTTCTTTCTTTCTCTCTCTCCTTTCTCTCTTTCTCTCCTTTCTTTCCTTCTTTCTTTCTTTCTTTCTTTCTTTCTTTCTTTCTTTCTTTCTTTCTTTCTTTTTTTCTTTCTTTCTTTCTTTCTTGGAGGGAATGGGAGATTCAAGACAGGGTTTCTCTGTGTAGCCCTGGCTGTCTTGGATTTGCTTTGTAGAGCAGGCTGGTCTCAAACTCAGAGATCTGCCTGCCTCTGCCTCCCAAGTGCTGGGATTAAAGGTGTGTGCCGCCACTGCCCAGCTTAGTTAAGGCTACTTTCAACTCTTGCTTGCCTTTCATCTCTCATTCTCAGGGCCACAGTGGAAGCCTAAGGTCTTGTAGGATTTGTCTGAAGTGTGACAGTCTACTCTACCCAGTCACTCATGCAGTCTTCTAGGTCTCAGGCTGCTACAACTAGTCTATGTCTTTAAATCTTCTCAACAAAATCCACGGGGAGGCTGTTCAGCCCCAAAGTTTGCATTTGGCAGCTCCTGCCAAGCTAATTATTGCTTTAGTGGGAAGGGTGTGCTTTTTCCAGCTCAATACGCCACCATTTTTAGCAGCATCATTTTCCTTTGAACATTAACTGTTTTTGATAAGAAAAACCTCTGGTGAGTCATGAGCCTCTGATTCCCTGTGCTCACACGTGAGACCTTCGTTTTACTCCATTATTCCCCATCCTGATTCTGTTAGGTGGGTGAATCACTCAATGTCAACCCTGAGAATCATTGTTGACCCCACCTACTTTTACATTCCCATCTATCAGCCAGAGTCCTGCCAATTTGCCTCTTTAAAGGTTTCTTCAATCTGTAGGCACGGTGGCATACGCCTTTAATCTCAGCACTCAACTCAGGGGGCAGACGGAGGTAGATCTCTCTCTATGTATCTACATATCTCCCTTGTCTCAAAAAACAAAACAGAAAGAGTATACACAAGATAAGAGTTTAAATGAAAGGTAGATCCATCTACGCAGCTATAGGAAACAAGCTTCTGAGGTGAGATTTTTGGTAGGTGGCTATTTGTTTTGGGATTACCCCTGCTCTATAAGCAAGCCCAATAAATTCATTTGTTCCACAGGATGGTCCTTTCTAGGGTGAGTAGAGAGATGTTTATTCCCATAATCTCAGGGAAAGTTCACATGACAACTTGTTTATTCTTTTTGATACAGGGTCTCTATGTAGTCATTGCTGGGTCTTACTTTGTAGACCAAGCTGCCCTGAATCACTGAATCCTCTGGCTTCTGCCTCCCAGATGCTGGGATTAACACTACACGACTTCCGTTCCTATTGCTTTCATATCCTAAATGCTGCAACTGCAGCTGCAGCTATAGGCCGCCACGCATGATGCTCTTCAACCCTAGCCTGTGTTTGTTACAACTACTTGCCATGCAGTCATTACCTAGATAAAAGCGTCTGGCCTGACACCTGTTGGTGGTGGGCCACCCTCAACAGCCCAGCTTCTCTGTGAAATCTCAGGAAAGCTGCCTGACAGGGAGCTTCAGACCTGACTAAGCTGGAGGAAATACAAGGAGGGAACAGGTTTGATAAGACCACGAGAAAGCAGCCAATGGCAGAAGGCATTGTGCAGGCCTACTGTCTTATCAAAAGTCACCAACATGATCAATCTGGGCCAGCACTTGGGAGGATTGTGGGTCTGTGGCCAGCTGGGCTATGTAGTTAGCTCATGTGAAAAGCAGACCATCCATGGACCTGATCTGATCGCAATTCTTTTGACAACCAGGGGGCTGTGAATCTGGCAGCAGACACTACAGACTCACTGCCAAATTTTGCTAATGATGACAGTGGCAACTTCTAAGTGAGAGCTAAGTACTTAGGACTGAAACACACAATGCCAAGGACAGATTTGCAACAAGCACAGCAGACAAAGCAGGTATGGAAAGATGCGGATTAACTGCTGGAGGTTTAGTCACTAGTATTTATTCCGTGGTTACCTGAAATCTATTCACCTGAGCTTCACACATCTAAGTAAGCACTTTATCACTGAGCTGCACCAGGCAGCTGGACTTTGCTACTTTGTGGGTTCTTCTTTTTCCCACCCTTTATTGCCCCCTCCCGGGTTTCACCTCCTAACACGAGATAAACAAGGATAGATGGGAGAGACGAAATAGAAGAATCCCTGAATCTAATTCCTTTAGTTTCTTCTTTGACCACAGCTACTAGCAAACTGCAACTAAGTAACCAACAACCACTGACCCCAGCTATTGGAGGGCTCTAGCATTTATATACCCTCTGAAAAGTTTCTAGAATTCCAAACACCACACAACAGCAGAAACTATCTGCAGCTGGCTAAACCATGCCTCTGCTAGAACATGAGGCAAATTTTAGTCAGTTGCTTCGATCATTTTGAAGCAGGCCCATATCCCTATACCTGGAATTAAAACAAAACCACTCTTATCAGTTGGATGATTAAATGTTTTTATAATACAGAGAAAAGAGAATTTTTAAAAAAGCATCGGGGGCTAGAAAAATGGCTCAGTGGTTAAAAGCACTTATTACTGCAAAGGACACTGGGTTTGATTCCCAGTTCCTATATTGTGGTTCACAACCATCAATAATAACTCTAGGACTATGAGACTCAAAGCCCTCCTCTGACTTTCTTGGGTATCAGGCATGTACAGGTACACACATATACACACATAGGCAAAACATCTGTACACATAAAAAACCCTAAAGAAAAAGCTATCATAGCTTTCATCATTACAAAGTTAAGGTGTATTTTACTCTGATTCCCATTGCTGTAACAAATTACCTGAGTCTAGGCAATTAATAAAGAAAAGAGGTTTATTTTGCTCATAGTTCAAGAACACCGCAACGGCATTTACTTGGTTGTGGTGAGGGTCCTGACATGGATGGCTTGCAGTAGCAGGGAAAAAGGCAGAACAGATCACATGGTTATTCCTCCTCTTTGGCTGAGGGGGTCTCGAATTCATTGTTCTTACTGCCTGTCTCCCTATGGCTGGGATCACAGACATACAACATTTTTTTGTAAAAAAATTTCAGCTTAGTGAGACTGTCTTCTCACTATGAAGCCAAGACACGCTTTGATTTCCTGGCAGTCCTCCTGCTTTTTCCTGCATCTGCTGGGCAGTACGCTATCAACGAGCCACATTCTCTAGCCTCAGTTTAAGTTTACTTTTTGTCGCTGTTATTAAGTTTACTCTTTTTAAGTAATCTGTTCTGATGGGTCTACCTTGGTTCTGTGAGAACTACATTAATCTTGTCCAAAGGTAGTGTCCCTACCCTCCGTGACCTAACTCCCTTCTGGTAGTAGAAGATCCTACTTCTTAAATGTCCTCCTCCCTCAACCCACCACACCAGGGGCAAAGCTTCTAGCACATGAACCTTTAGGAGAAACTCAATTATACCCAAAGCCTCTTGTTAAGTCTGGCACGTGTTCTGCAGTGGAACTATATTCCCAGCCTTCCACACACTGTTTTCCTTTGGAGGGGGTGGTATATATTTTGAAACAGGGTCACTGTAGACTCAAACTCATAGTACTCTTAATGTCTCAGCCTCCTGAGTGCTGGGATTGCATGCCTGTGCCACCAGACCCAGCTCAGAATAGTTTCTTGCCAGGGTACCCAGAGAGTGTCCATCTCATCTCCCTATGTCCACACTGACCTTTCTTATTTTTGCTACTTGGTAACAGGCAGGATCCCCCACAGCCAACCAAGGAAGGGCTACACGGCAAGGAGGGCAAGCTAAAGCTACCTAAAACCAGCACCCACGTCCTACAGGCACCTCAGAGACTGTGGTCAGCACTGACGTCAAGGTTTAGAATGCCAGTTCTCCTCCCAGGCTCTTTACTTCTCTGTGTAGCCTTTAGAGAAGCACAGGCTGAGGAGAGCAGTATGCCAGGCACACTGCTGAAGCCTCACCCAGGTACTGGATAACTGCACCTGCTGTTCCAGATGCTGTTTATACTGCAGCAATAAAGAGCTCTTGGGAACTGGCACACAGCTATTGATCTGGAAAGTGCTTTTACTCTTTTGTCCAGTGGTAGAGAATAGCAGCTGACAAGATCTTATCTGTCACCCACCAAGACAATATACTAGTCTGTGACTCAAATGAAACACAGGTCTGACCTGGCGAATAGAAGAAGCAGGTGATCTAGAATGCACTGATATGGACAGTGGCGTGTGTCATCTCTACAAAGTTCTGGTGGTCTGGAGGCCAGGTCTGCATCACAAGAGCTTTTCCAAAATCAAGAGTGTGCTGTACAACTCTACCTCATCCACACACAGTGAAGCCTATTTGGGAGGCACTTTTGGATTCCAGAACCAACAACACCCTGCACTGGATGGTCCACTCTGATGGTCAGTTGACCTAGAGGACCACCAAGCTGAGAGGGTCTTGCATACTTCAAGTGTCCAGGGCTGTCAGAGAAGCAGAATGGAGTTTCTACTCTAAAACAATCACAGACTCCCCAAGAAACATCCATGGCCTGCTGGCAAGGTTCAGTTCCTTGAATCTTGAAATTGGGGGCTGCAGGCTAACAGTTGCTCTTAGCTTTCAAGGGCTACCTCACCCCTTGGCTCAAGGCCTCTCCCTCCAGCTTTAAAAGCAGCCATGGGACATTAAGCCCTCTGGAGCCCACAGTTAAGAGTACCTGTCTGACTATTTCCAGGAAAGTCAAGAACCTCCAATCAGATGAGTTCACTCTGAGAATTTCCCCACCTCAAGGTCCATAACTTTAAACACATATGCAAGGGTCCCGCAGGAGAACATCGTGGCATCATTATTCCACTGGGTCTGTTATGACACAGAGCACAGGTGCAAGCCAGTGCCTAGGTTCAAGTTGTCCCTGCTATGCCACTTACTACGTGTGTGACAAGGGTCAAGGTACTTGGGTCGCATCATCTGCTAAGACAATAGAACCTGTCTATGATGCAGACTCAGGACTGCTAACTCAAATGTCACGCCCACTTCACTCTCCACAAGTAAGACAGACATGAAGTCATCCACTTGGAGGCCACATACAGTGGCAGGCTGTCCCCATGTGGTACACTTCATGTCTTCGTAACTTCTAATTTGAGGAAATGCTGCCCACATAACTATTAACTAATAACCTATCTCCTTCCTCCCTTCCTATGCTGGAGCAATAACATAGCCATGACCAAAGCACAACCACACACAGGAAGTGGGGACTCAGTGGATAAAGGACTTGGATCTCTAAGTGATCTAGTGAGGTGCAGCCCAACATCCTGGCCAAGATGGATGGGAGAAACAGACTTCTGTTGCACTTAGGTGTCTGTATTCTCACATGCTAACTAACATTTAGAAATTGCCACACAGGGAGTACTACACAGTGCCACTTATTAATATTACTGGTAGTTTCTTGCCTTCTGCAGGTTGGCAATTCTACTCTGTCATGCCTCAAGTATGCCATGACAGAGGCAGAAGCACCATCAGTGCACTCTCACCTATGAAGACCGGATACACCTGCTCACTGATTAGACAGTAAGGAGGGGGGTGGCTGACTTTTACAGAGTGCATGTATTAAACAGCTATAGGTTGTGAAAACAAAGAAACAGACTCCGGAATCAGGGCCCTGCCTAAGATTCCTCTGTGCAGGGGTAGCTTGAGCTGTCATTTCCCACAGAACCTCTGCTCCTTGCAGAGCCAGCTCTGCCAACACATTACTCACATAGACGTCCGGTACTTGATGTCATCCTTTTCAGCCAGCTCTTCACAGGTGAGGCCATTATGTTCTTTCCAGAGCCCCTGACACTTCCTACAGGTCTCCTAGGGTCAAAACACAGACACAAAGACAGTTCCTGGTGAGTGGGTGTGACACAGCCTCTTCACTAATGCCTGTGAAATCTGCTTCTTAGGGCTCTGAGTCTCTGAGGGCCACTGTCCCAAAGAGCAAGGCTGCTTCTAAAGACAAAGCAGCAGCAGAACAAAGAAGCATCAGAAGGCACGGGGCAGTTTTCTCTTTTTCTATTAAAAAAAAAAAAAAGGGGGGGGGTGTGTTCTCATCACCAGATCTGAAATGCTGATGAGCCACCTGCACACAGCACAGGAGAGAACGCCTGTCTGTTAGGCCTTTCCCTCCACAATTCTTCCAGTCAGGCTCTCAGCATAGAACTGAGGAATAGTCTAGAATATGATCACCAGGGGAACTTAGGAAGACATTCCTTTTGTGACCTACCATTCACAGCATGATTTCATTTCATTACAAATACAAACTGAGAAATGTCATTACCTTGCAGCTTGGTTGAGAAAGTGTTTGTCTTGGGAGCATGTGTGTGCACTAACACATCAACACCTTTTATTTTAGTTTACAGAAACAATTTTTTTTTAAATTTATTTTTTTATTTTTGTGTACAGTTGGTGTTTGGCATGCATATCTGTCTATCTATCTATCTATCTATCTATCTATCTATCTATCTATCTATCTATCTATCTATCTATCTGTGTGAAGGAGTGGGATGGATCCACCAGTTACAGACAGTTGTGAGCTGCCATGTGGGTGCTGGGAATTGAACCCAGGTCCTCAGGAAGAGCAGCCAGTGCTCTTAACCACTGAGCTATCTCTCTAGCCCCCAAAACAATTTTTGTGCTAATAACAAGAACAAAAGAAAACACTAATCCAATGGTCATGAGCCTAAGTAAAATTTGCAACTGTGCTTAGTACAGCACAGGGAAAGATGGTGTGTGTCAGCTGACTGGGTTCTGGCCTTGACTGGAGAGGCAGGGAACCTGAGAAAAAAAATCAGGGATTTATAAGCTGCAGCATTGATAACTGGAGAAAACAACACAGGCTAGACATAGATGATGCTGGTGGACAAAGCTGGGCTGTGGGGTACTGTGGAAGGTACAGACGATGATGTATGCAGGCTTAGTCAGGCTTGCACAGGCTAGTCCATGCAGACCCTTGTGGGACCAAACTTAAGTGTTTGGTCTTGAATCTAAAACAGGAAGCTATGGTGGCAACATGAATAGATTTGTGACTAATAAAGAATATTCTTGGGAAACAGATTAGAAAGGAAAGACTAAAATGTTTAAGACAGCTGGAGGACTGGAGAGATGGTTCAAGTGGTTAAGAGCACTTGTTGCCCTAGGTGGTGCACACCTTCAGTCCCAGCACCTGGGAGGCAGAGGCAGGCGGATCGTTGTGGGTTCAAGACCAGCCAGTCTACAGAGGGGTGGGGAGCACTTGCTCTTGCAGAGGAGCTGGGTTCAGTTCCCAGCACCCAAATGACAGCTTACAACTGTCTATGACTACAGTTCCCCAGGGGATCTAATGCTTTCTAACCTCCACAGGCAGCAGCCACACATGTGGCACACCTACATGCAAACAAACAGAACACTCATGAACATAAAATAATCCGGGGGAGTGGAGGAACAGCCATCCACTCAGGAGATGAAGGAAGGTCCATGAGACCCTGTAGAGAGAAGCTTAAAGGTGACCTACCTAGAAGAAACCTGAGAAAGCAAGCTCAGAAGGTTTGAGCGTGGGAGGGAGGCTCCAAGAGGACTTTCTTCTGGACTAGGCAAAAGAAGATAACAGCAATACTGATATGCTTGGGTGGAGGGAGGCAGCCTGATCTGATGTTGCTAACACAAGGAACCAATGGATATCTCTTCGGAATGTAGGATAGGGGTTGGTGGCAAATTTAAAACTTAGAGAGCGGGCAGGGCAGGTGCTGCTTAGCTATACTAGAGCTTCATGGCAATTCTAAAAACATTTCCCACAGCTGAACTCTCTGTAAGTAGCCAGGAACTTAGGTGATTCTAATAAGGCTTAGGATGGCACCTACAGTAGGATACTATAGATACTACCATTGCACACGAGTATAGAGTTCAGATGACAAACCTGCATTTTATCTTGTTGAGACAGAGTCCCTCTTGCTGTTCACCGTTGCATACTCCAAGCTGGCTGGCTTCCAGGCTAACTTCTAGTCTCTATCTATTTCATGGTATGGTCAGCTGTCTCATTCAGCTTTTATGTGGGTTCTGGAGAGCTGGTTGTCAGGCCTGTCCAGCCAGGTGCTATATATACTGAGCCATCCTCTCTGCCCAAGACCATGACTTTTCCATAAGGTATGGACATGGCAGCATCTGCCTTGGTAGCATGTGGTCTTGAGAAGCGGAAGCAGGAAGATGGAGTCTGAGGACAGCTGGTGGTGGGACAGATAAAATTAGCTTGCAAGGACACTGCAACACTAGTGGCCCTAGGCGGCTGAAAGAGCGTGTGGGGTGGAGTTTGTAGGAGTGTACTGACTGAAGACACAAGACTTTTTACTGTAAGCCTTTTGAATTCACCAACATCTGCCCCAAGACATGGTGTCATGTAGCCCTGGCTGGCTTGAGCTTGCTCTGTAGCTGAGAGATTACTTTGAACTGTTTCTTTCTTGAAAACATAATCTTTTTTTTTTTTTAATTAAAAGATTTATTGATGTATATGAGTGTTTGTCTGCGTGTACATTTGCACACAGGAAGATACTGGATCCCCTGGTACTACAGCTATAGATAGCTGCGAGCCACCATATTGGTGCTGGGAATTAAACTCAGGACCCTTGGAAGAATAGTTAATGCTCTAAACCACTAAGGCATCTCTCTAGCCTCTAGCTTGAACTTCCTGTCTCTCTGATCTGAGTGCTAAGATTATAGGTACACGGCACCATACCTGGTTATTTTGTGCTTGGGATGGAACCAAGGGCCTTGTGCACGCTAGGCAATCATTCTACCAACTGAGGTGTATTTCCAGTCCTCTGTTGTACCTTATAACCGTATATGACAATTATGTACTAGTAACATAAAGGAGCACTGAATTTTAGAGATTAAAAGAATGATATGGACAGCCCAGGGAGTCTGGAATATGCATTCTTGAGGGGGATGTGGTCCAAAGGCTCCAATCAATGGTGTGAGGGTACAAATGAGTTCTTGAAGAGTACACACTTCAGCGTCATTGCTTTCAAGGGATGTAGATGTTCTCTCGCTCTACTGTTTGCATTCCATTCAGAAAACAGAGCTAAGACAGTAGTGTATTTAGTTTCCAACAAAATCTGCAGATGCACATAACTATTCTAAAAAGACCTTGTGTAGCCATGCATGATGGCACACACCTTTAATCCCAGTACTCAGGAGGCAGAGGCAAGGGGATCTCTATAAATTCAAGGCCAGCCTCATCTATGTAAGAGAGTTTTAGGAGAGCCAGTGCTGCATAGAAAGAATCCATCTTAGAAAACAACAACAACAACAACAACAAAAAACCCAACCTTGTGACTGTTCCAGGAAAATGGCATAAACAACAGCTGGAAAATAGATAAGCTGGTATTTGGATCCTCTCCTCCTAAACAAAACCAACAGAGCCGCCCACCAGCTTGGAAACAATAGATGGCAGAAAGGCAGTACTGCTGAGCTGTCTGGTGAGCCAGTCATTAATTCATGGCTTGTCTTTCTTAAGTGAAGAAACCCCATTCTCTAGGTAAGGCCCAAGCCCACAAAATATGCTGTTTACACTGAGCCTATGGTTCATGAGGGTCACAGGAAAAGTCCGTTGGCTCCATTTCAAAACCACAGTGCTCTGCCTGTTGGCTGTATTCCTTCACAGTGAAGAGCACAGGGGTCCCAGAGAAGAAACTGAAGAGGCACTGCAGCCAGACACTGAAACCCACAATTAAAATAAGGCAAGCACAGAGCAGGCTGGGCAGAGTTAGTGCAGGGAGCTCTCTGTATCATCTCTTCTAAACAGTGTTTACTAAACTGTAATTAATTCCTTCTTCCAAGCTCAGCTAGACTTTGTTCCTTAACTCCAAGAAGCTTCTGTAATGCAAAGACAAGCCTGTCTTCAAACTGGAAAGAAGGAGAAATGCCAGAAGGCCATTTTGAAGGGTGGAGCACCCTGACAAGTAACTTACCAACACTCCATGTCCACCCAACCCAGCCGCCTCAACTTTTCAGCCCAGGACAGTGACAGGGATACAGATACTGGCTAACCTAGGCAACTCACTAAAGAAGCTGCTACCAGCTGCTGCTTTTTATGACATTAAGAGCCTGCTGCCTATGTCTTATGAGGCCCATGGGTCCTTGAAATGCTAAGATGTCTTGTAATATAAAGAAAACACATGCGGTTGGGAAGATGGCTCAGTTGGTGAAGTGCTTGCCTTGCAAGCATTAGGATCCGAGTTCAATCCTCAGAAGGCACATTAAAAATAAATAAATAAAAAGCCAGGCATGATAGTTAGTTAGTTCTGGGTGTGTGTGTATGTGTGTGTGGAGGGGGAACAGGGACAGGTTGATCCCAGAGGCCCTATGGTCAGGCAGCCCACTGCAATCAGCAAGCCCTCAAAGAGAGATGCTATTTTTTAAAAACAAGATGGAGGAACACCAGCAGAGAGTGATCTTTGGACTCCCATGCACCCAGCACACATGGTATCCTCGTATCCATTTTCTGTTACCTGAGTGTTTAATGAGCAAAACAGATTAGATTATTTTTCGGCTCTGGAGGCCTAGGCAGAATGACTGTCATGATATTCAAGGCCAAACTAGGCTATTTAGGTTGTTCAAGGGCAGTATATGCCACATAGCAAGTTTCTGTCCCTCAAATAACATCAAAAGACAAACTTGTAGTTTTAGATGATTCTATGAGAGGGCTGAAATTTCTTCTCAGAAACAGCTTCCTCAAAAAATCAGCAAATGTCCCTGTAGCATCATCTTACCCACAGAAGTTTCAGACCCAGCTCTAGGGCACAAGGCTGTCAGTCTACCCACATATAATTTGAGAAATTCCAGTT